ATGACAAAATGACTTAGATGCTTAACTTTTGAGAGGAATATTTTGGCTAAAATCATGGGTTATTGAAAACACTAGTATAGATATAGCACCTACATTATAAGACAATGATATAGACTGTGTAGGTTTAACTCGCCATAACCAGCTTTAAGACAGAGAAACTTTCCACAAATGGAAGATTTGTAGGAGACTTTTGCATCACAGTACNATCATTTTAGCCTCCTGTGTTTTAGGATGCGTTTTAAGATCCCATTACCTTTACAGCCCTTCATTGTTTCTCTCCTCAGGCAGTGATTGTCTCGACCAAACGATGATGCTCCCCTGTTACACACAGCTCAACTAAAACTATTTCCCTCTCACTGGGAAAACTGGTCATATCTGAAGATCCAATCATCAGCTAATCAACGACTTTGTACCTCTCCTCCACATCTCCCACCAACAGAACAGAAAATGACTACTAAGTTTACCAAACGATGTTACCGTATTTACATTTGCCAGATGAGTTTGTCACCAGTTTCCAGCCAAACAATAGCTTTGCTTGGCTCATCAGAAATGTAGTTTCTCCAACAGGTTACTGGAGCCATTGGAAGCTTTTGTAGTTTACTGTGGACTAACAAGAGTCTGATTTTCTCACAAGACTCACAAACAGATTTAAAAATAGGTTAAGCAGCTTTTAGGACGCAAACAACCCAATCAAAAAAGAATCAAATATACACTCAACCTTCTCTGCTACAGAAGTCAGCATAATGTCTTCTGTATTCCAAGAGAAAATAATCCTGAGGATGTCCTTGTGGCGTCATTAGTGACATCCCAGTTTGGAGACTTCTATCATAAAGACCATGATTCTAATGAGATATGGAGTTTAGCAGATGTGGTGGGAAGGCTCTAATGACAGACACTACAGCACTACAGCACAGCAAATATAAGATCCAGTCTTTCTCAACCTTAAACGATACTCAGAATATAAAGTCAGATTATCACAACCTTTGCTGCTTCGATTTAGTGCAATATAAAATTGCTGGATTTACACAATTAATACGGTACATCCTGAACTTGGTGATTGTTGGTTTTGTCTGTGATCTAAACACATGTTGCCCCAGTGGTCAATAGTTTATCATACTGAATACCATACTCACAATAACTGATATACAAGGAGCTCTTGTGATTTTCTCGGCTTTCATGATACAGATGAAACATTTCTCAATGGTTTTTCAAAAAAAATAAATTTGTGTGATTAAGTTACATTTTATAGTCATTTTATGTGTGTTTTTTTTTTTTACAAAACAGTATTTTTTACAAATGCATTTATGCATCGATTTAGTTCCAGTAATGCAAAGGAATTAAAACTGCAATGACTGTATTATTGTTGAGTTATTAGTGACTAAAATGGGCTCAGTGACAGCATGCATATTTGTTAAAGCTGTGTGTACTCACATGTAGCGCAGGTATGGGTTCTTGGAGAAAACACGAGTCTGGATCGCATACAGGTTACTTCTTGT